GGGGGGGGGGGGGGGGGTCATGGGTGTCACACGTCTCCACAGTTGCCCTTTCAAAAATGTCTACGGCTCTTCTTTATAGAACCTTCTAATATTTCACTCAGAAGTTGGAGTTTTGATTTTTGAAGTTTATATTAGGGTTTGGTTACTAATCGCTATATTAAATATTAATTTAATTAAGTATATTTCTAAAAAAAAAATAATAGGCGTGGTTAAAAATCTCANTATTTCACTCAGAAGTTGGAGTTTTGATTTTTGAAGTTTATATTAGGGTTTGGTTACTAATCGCTATATTAAATATTAATTTAATTAAGTATATTTCTAAAAAAAAAATAATAGGCGTGGTTAAAAATCTCATGATCTCATTAATGAGAGTCTATTAGGATGGTCTCTGAATAATATCTTTTTCTCCCGCTCTTTTTAAAATATCAAAAAAAAAAACAAAAAAACCTTTCAATATCAACATTTTATATTTTCATGACTAGAAATCAAATCCCTAGAATATCGTTTGGGTCAACATGTGATGCTTCAATATACATGTGATAGAAAAGTCAAGAGAAAGCTTTGTGGAATAGGCTTGGAGTGAAGATTGGAATCAATACTCTAGAACANCATGATCTCATTAATGAGAGTCTATTAGGATGGTCTCTGAATAATATCTTTTTCTCTCGCTTTTTTTTCAATATCAAAAAAAAAACAAAAAAACCTTTCAATATCAACATTTTATATTTTCATGACTAGAAATCAAATCCCTAGAATAACGTTTGTGTCAACATGTGATGCTTCAATATACATGTAATAGAAAAGTCAAGAGAAAGCTTTGTGGAATAGGCTTGGAGTGAAGATTGGAATCAATACTCTAGAACAATTTGGTGTATTGATATCTGTAATCTGTATTAATTGCACTAAATTTAATAACTATATAATAAAGTAGAACGATTTTTGAATTGTTTAACTCAAAATTGTTTCAATAGACAAAAATAGTTTTGGAAATTTCATTATGGCTCATAAATTTTCATATTCAGATTCCAGCCCTTCAATCACACGTTTTCTCATTCTTCTCCCATATCTATATGAAGAAGTGATTTGTCTAAAGTGTTCAGCAGGTNTTTGAATTGTTTAACTCAAAATTGTTTCAATAGACAAAAATAGTTTTGGAAATTTCATTATGGCTCATAAATTTTCATATTCAGATTCCAGTCCTTCAATCACACGTTTTCTCATTGTTCTCCCATATCTATATGAAGAAGTGATTTGTCTAAAGTGTTCAGCAGGTTTTTTGGCATTAAGGAAGTGGCCGAAGCCATTTTTCTTAATGGTAATGGAGGAATTTTGGGTCCAAAAAAGCAACCATGGGGAAAAAGTTATATTTCTTCATTTCCTCTTTCATTATCATCACCTCATCCGCTACTCATTTTCATAATTGGAGTTTTTTTTTTTTTAACAAANGAAGCCATTTTTCTTAATGGTAAT